AAGCAAGGAGAGACAGTCGAATCGTTCGTACGAAGTCTTTACGAATTAGCCGAACACTGTGATTTTGGGACAGAATTGTCATTGGAATTCTTGATAAAAGTGTGCTGCAGAAATAACAGTTAAAGTCGGATTTAACACTGGAAGTCGCGATTCAAATAGCTCGCCAGTCAGAAATGGTCAAGTCTCAGGTTACTGATCACAATTCCCTCGCATCAAAGGAGGTTGAAGAGGTGCACAGTAAGAAGAAACCGACTAATCCGCGTTGGAAAAAAGGAAAAGGAAAGAAAGAGGATCCATCTCAAAAGCAAGGTCAGAAGAAGTGTGGCAGATGCGGTCTTCATCACTCAAAGCCTGAACACTGTTTAGCAAAAGATAAACGATGTTTGAAATGTCAAAAAGTGGGTCACTTGGCAGCTGTTTGTTGGTCCAAGTCGGTGAGTGAGGTGAATAGTAGTGGTGGTGGTAGTGCTTCAAATGATAGCAGTGCTGGTCGTTGGTTCTTAGGTGCGTTGTCAAGTGATTTAGATCAGGATGACAAATGGAAGGTCCAGCTTAAGGTCAGTGGTAAACTCCTGGTGTTCAAAATTGATACCGGTGCTGATATTACTGCCATTTCAAAGTCTACTTTTGATAGTTTGCCAAATCAGCCCAAGTTACATCCAGCGAAGATAGCTCTTTTCAGTCCAGGAGGCAAGTTGCAGTGCGCTGGGCAGTTTACAACAGCAGTGACACATTGCAACAAGAAGTACCAACTCAATGTTTTTGTAATCAGTGGAGAACATGCAAGTAACTTGCTGGGTCGAGAAGCAGCTTGTGAAATGGGTTTAGTTGCGAGATTAGAAGAGGTGGATGCTGAGTTGTTTGGAGATATAGGCTTGTTCAAGTGTGAACCAGTTAGGATCCAACTGGATGAGAATGCCCAACCCTATTGCATCAACACGGCAAGAAGAATAGCTTTTCCTTTAATGCCGAAAGTAGAAGAGGAACTCAAGCGTATGGAAGAAGCTGGTATCATCGAAAGAGTAACAGAGCCGACAGAATGGTGTGCGCCCATGGTATGGTATCCACTTGATGCGTCCAGTGGATTTTGGCAGATCCCCCTACATCCAGATAGTGCCAAGTTGACCACGTTCATGACTCCATTTGGTAGGTTCTGTTTTAGAAGACTTCCATTTGGAATCAAGTCTGCTCCAGAAATTTTCCAGTCTCTAATGAGTGATCTGTTAAAGAACAGAGAAGGTTGTGAAGCAATTATGGATGACATTATTGTGTACGGGAAGTCTGCAGAAGAACATGATGAGAACTTACAGAACACGTTTGAAGTTATCAAGGAGTCAGGACTGAAACTGAACAAAGCGAAGTGTGAGATCAAGAAAAACAAGCTAACATACTTTGGACATGTTCTCAGTGCTGAGGGTGTAAGTCCAGACCCAGAGAAGGTGAAGGCAATAACAGACCTCGAAGCACCAACCAATGTGCCAGAACTACGCAGACTGATTGGCATGATTAACTACCTCGGGAGGTTTATTCCCAACCTTGCTTCAGTGATGCGTCCAATGAGCGAACTATTAAAGTCAGATACAACTTGGACTTGGGGACCTCCCCAGCAAACTGCATTTACCAAGGTCAAAGAAATGATTTCAAGTAATACAGTGTTAGCATTCTATGATCCTAGGAAGCCCACTGTTGTATGTGCAGATGCTAGTAGCTATGGAATTGGTGGGGTTCTGATGCAAGGTCACAGCGACCAGCTCCGCCCAGTCAGTTTTTGCAGTAGACCACTCACAGACACTGAAGTCAGATATGCTCAAATTGAGAAAGAGTGCCCGGCAGCAGTGTGGACATGTGAGAGGCTCTCACGTTATCTAGTAGGGCTTCCAAGTTTCCAGCTCTTGACAGATCACAAACCTCTGGTACCACTGATTAACCAGAGAGATCTTGATAAAACACCACTAAGATGCCAAAGGCTTCTAATGCGCCTTATGCGTTTCAATCCTCAAGCAGAACATGTACCTGGCAAGCAGATGGCGGTTGCAGATACTCTGTCAAGAAGCCCTTGTAAGTTAGAACAGGAACCCGACACAGTAGAGGATGTGCAGGCATTTGTAGACTTGGTTGAATCTACAAGGCCAGCCACAAGTGATCAGCTTAAGAGAATCAGAGAAGCAAGTGCAAAGGATGTCCAGCTCCTGAAAGTGATGGAATTCACAATGGTAGGGTGGCCAGCCCATGTGGAAAAAGTCCCCTCGAGATACGAGAGTTCTTTGATTCTCGTGGACACTTGTCAACGAGCAACGGTTTATTAACATATGATGATCGCATAGTGATCCCTGCAGACATGAGAGAGGAGATACTGGATCGCATTCACACAGGTCACCAGGGTATAACAAAGTGCTGTGAACGTGCTAACCTTTCCGTGTGGTGGCCGGGTATTTCTAAGGAGATCAAGACAAAGGTGGAGTCATGCCAATTCTGTCAGGAAAACCAACCATCACAAAGGAACCACTGATGACCACAGACCTCCCTGATAGGCCATGGCAGAAGGTGTCTACTGATTTGCTTGAGCTAGCCGGTCAGAAATACCTAGTAGTGATGGACTATTATTCAAGGTTCATCGAGATATTAAGCCTAGTTGAGACAACAAGTCAAGTTGTCATCCAAAAGCTGAAGTCAGTGTTTGCAAGATGGGGCATTCCGGAGGAACTAATAAGTGACAATGGCACCCAGTTCAAGTCACTACAGTTTGATGAGTTCAAAGCAAAGTATGGATTCAAGCACACCACATCAAGCCCGTATCATCCCCAGGCAAATGGTACTGCAGAAAGTGGCGTGCGAATCGCTAAGCGGATTCTGAAACAGGAGGATCCACTCCTTGCTCTTATGGCCTATAGGGCGACCCCAATCCCGGCAACTGGAAAGACACCATCAGAGGTGATCATGGGAAGGCTGATACGTACTACACTTCCAACACTGACCAAAGTTTTAGAGCCAAAGCTTCCAAACCATTCAGCAGTCAAAAGAGCTGATGTCAAAGCCAAACGGGGCTACAAGGAGTCCTTTGACAAAAGGAATGGCTCGAGAGAATTACCAAAGCTACAGCCTGGAGACTGGGTCAGAACCAAGCTGGATAATGAGAAGCAGTGGACCACAGAAGCTAAGGTCATTAGTGAAGACCAAAGTCCCAGGTCAAACATCATAGACACTGGTGGTAGAAGATTGCGAAGGAATCGTAGGCATCTTAGAAAGGTCCCTACACCCACTCGTTATGACACAGCAGGGGACGACTCCCAAATTCCGGATATCAACAGTGAGCCTACTCCCAAGGTCCTCCAAGTGGAGGATGCCAACGTTCCCGGAAGCAGCAACGCCAGTCCTGACGAAAGAGTTCAGAATGCGATTCCAGAACAGAGAACCTCACGTGGTAGACTTGTTAGGAAACCTATTCGTTATAGAGAGGACATTTAGTACTGTTGATTTTGTTGACTTTTGGACAGTCGTTATTGTCTTTCATATAGGTCAACTGATGCCTAGGACTCTCCTTGATTAGATTTCAGAACAGCTTAGCATTGTATTCAACCAGTTCATTTTGTTGTATTTTTTTTTAAAAGGGGAGATGTCTCGATATTGCATGGTTGCCTAGTAACGCTAGGGACATGCGCATTAGGACTTGTAGTTCTTGCCATGTGCTCTTGCCAAATGGCGGACTTAGTACATCACGTTTGTTTGTTATAAATGATTAAATCCTGTTGAGATTTCAAGACAGTGCACAAGAGGGTCCAGGCGTTGTATCCCATGTAACACCTTCGAATAGGGTATGGATCTCAATTTAACACATATTGGTGACTCACCTTCCACTCGCAGGTCATTCACGGCATTGAATTTTATGATCAATTATATGAAGTCCATTCTAATCCCAGCCACACAAATTTAAGTTTCTGCATTCTCATTGACTTCTAGGCAATGACCCTGGTTTTGCCAAGGGACAAAGTCAGAAAGGTATATCAAGAATGTCAAATTGTTTTAAATCAACCTCAGATACAGGTGAGATCATTACCATTCACGATGTCTCTCTTGTCTCCCTCCACCACTTGCAGGGAGACAAAAACAAAGCCTTGAATCATTGGGGTTCCTACTCCCAGGTTCATCTTTCTCCCCAGGCAAAAGAGGAGCTAATGTGGTGGAGTGACAATTTAGAAGCCTGGAATGGGAAGAGCCCAATATTAGGATCTCCCGATCTTGTAATAGGAACAAAATGCATCCTGCAAGGACTAGGGACCTTTTGCATGCGAGTTGCAACGGGAGAGGTCAGTGGTCCCAAGAGGAATTCCGGTTACACATTGATTGACTCAAGGTCCCAGCAGGAGCCCTTGCAGTAATGACCGCAGCAAGATCCAAAGCTCAAACGAAAGTTCATCTTGTGATGGACGCTGTTTCTGCAGCCCATAACATCAATAGAATGGAAGGAACAAAGCCACCAGTCTCAGCCCACCTGGTCATAGATCTGACAGAATGGTGCCAACAGAGAGTACAGTCTAATGACGTTATAGATCAGGTGACTTGCCTCGTGCTCAGTTGCGCCTTGTTATTTCATTCGCCGTTAAAGAAGTATGTTCAGTTTAACATTTGTTGATCTTCCACCTCTGAACACTACAAAGTTTTGGCGGGATCAATAAACTGTCCGGAGGAGATAGTTCAAGGGCTGCTGCAGTCCAAGGAGCAAATCTAGCTTCATTTAGTGATCTAATGGCTAGTCATTTCCATTGAATGGGGGATTATGACCAAAGATTAAAGAGTGGTGATTCTATGTAGAGCATTTGGAAATGTTTTCTCTGGTGAATAATGTTCCAGATACCGAAAAGGCAGCCAGTTTGCTTACCTTTATTCATGGGAAACTGTATTCACTGTCGAATAGTTTAACTACACCAGCTAAACTGACATAGTTATCGTTCAAAGAAATTGTGCCAATTATGGGCCGACATTTGACACCAAAGCCAATTGTCATAGCTGAAAAATACAAATTTCACACAGGCAATCAAGAAGAAGTTCAGTCCACTCATGACCTTTTGGCTAAGTTACAGAGACTAGCTGAAACGGGTGAATTAGGTGAAGAGATATAGACTAGTGTGTGGTATAACTTCTCAGTTCATTAGAAGAATGTGGTTAAGTGTGGCAGATTTGACCTTAAAGAAAGCGGTGGACATTGCTGTTAGCATGGAGTTGACCAACAAGGAAATAGCCAAGATTTCTAGTAAAGCTAACCCTGTCCAAAAATGGGAATTGCATGTTACGGTTTTCGTTGCAGCAAGCAGGCAAAATGATTTGCCACAAAATTGTTTCCACAAAAATTCTGAGTGTCAGAAGTGTCATAGAAAAACACACATTAATCCACAATGTCCACAAAAGATGTCTGCCACACCTTGAGCTAAAGGGAAATTTCAACAACCGTAAATTAAGCAAGGGAAGAAAAAGAGAAAAGAATAAAAGATAAAGTTGTTAGGAAATGACAGCAGTGCTAAAAGGGAGGCCTCTTTGCAGGAGGATGAAAATTCTAGTAAAGAATATCATGCTGAATGGCAATGTTTACTATAAGTAATCCCTCTAAGGGCAAATCAGATTAAACTGATTCCACTTAAGATCAATCACATTCCTTGTAAATTGGAGTTGGACACAGGAGCAGTAGTGACTGTGATCCCAAAAGAAATATGGCAGAAAGATTTGGGGGCAATTCCCTTCAAGAAGTCTAATGTGACACTGAGAAGCTACTCTGGTCATTCTAAACCAGTAATTGGGGAAACCACTGTCCAAATAAAATACGGTGCCCAGGAATCATCTACGCATTTCAGTTACTAAAGGGAAAGGTGCTGCTCTCGTGGGAAGAGATTGGTTGTCCAAGATTAAGTAAGACTGGGCCCAGATAAAATGATGGAAGACAAGCTAATCAGCCCAAGCCCAAATTAGAGAACACTGTTCCACAATACCAAGATGTTTGATGGTAAACTAGGTACTATACAATAATTTACTGCTGAGTTTAAAGTAGAAGAGAATGTTCCACCTCAGTATTTCAAACCTGGCCCAGTACAATATGCACTAAAAAAGAAATTTCAGAATGAAATTAAGCACCTGGAGAAGGGTATGAAAAACGTTTAGGCGATTGGGCTACACGTATTGTTCATGTTCTTAAGCTGGATGGAACAGTTAGAATTTGTAATGATTTTAATGTCAGTAATAATCAACCCCTAATTGGATGTCCCACAGCACCCTATGCCTACACCCAAGGAATTATTTACAAAGCTAAATGGAGGGGACAGTTTACTAAGGTGGACCTCAGTCATGCTTATTAACTAGTGGTACTTGATGGAAAATCAGTGGCTTCACTATCACAACTCACTTAGGCTTATACCGATATACTAGACTACCATTTGGGGTAGCAGCAGCGCCTGGGATTTTCCAGCAGATTATTGACACGTTGTTTAACTGGAATACTGGATGATTTAATTGTTACTGGCGAAAATGTTGAGCAGCGTATGAAGAATATATGCCAAACTCTCGAGAAATGTGAAGAAGGTGGAGCATAAAGTTCAAGAAGTCCAAGAGTGTTATTATGAAGCGTAAAGGTGACCATTTTCCTTTTGTCCTAGTTCATCAAGGTATACATCCATTTCTTGCTAAACGTCAAGCAATTCTTGAAGTTTGTGAGCTAGAGAACAAAAGCGAGTTGCAATCTTTTCTTGTTTTACTTTATCCCAATCATGTCAACATTGGCGAGTCCACTGAACCAGTTAATGTCAAAGGACTCTCCGTCATGTTGGAGAAGGGAGTGCCAAGCTTTATTTCAAGCTCTCAAAGACACACTCGCTTCATTAAATGTACTTGCTCACTACAATCCGAAGCTAGAAGTTCAGCTGGCAGTACACGCATCACCAGAAGCACTATAACTTCACACATAACCCATGATGGAGTTGATGTTCCATAGCTTGCACATCTTCAAGCAAACATCTTAGTATCGATTGTGAGTTTGGTGGTTCAGTAATTAAAAGAAGCCTTTAATCTTACAACTTCTTTGCCCTGATACTCAGCTACTTGAGTTGTTTAGCTGGTTTTGCCATTTATAATTCATGCCAGTTTTCCTTGTACTACCCTAACCCTTGTGTAATGCTTCCCAAAACAAGGGCGTTTCCTTAGAGGACATCCTTCATTTAGCTGACTGGACGACAAACAGTATGTTTAGACAATTTTATTATAGGCCAACTGACAATCCTTTGCCTGCTCATTCCCTGGTTAGCACCCCTTATAAAAAAACACATGCCCATTTAAAATTCACATTGTTATCTGAGACGACTGTTTTGAAGTATAATCACAGCTTATGTAAGGGCTATTTGCGACCTGCAGTATAAGATGGATTATACTGGTAACGAAGGCAAACATAACAATGTCCCTCCCACCTCAACCTTCTGTTTATAGCCTCTTTTTAAAGCCTTTAGTAATTTTTTCTGTTCTCTGTAGCCGTCTGGTTAGTGTTGTAGTGTTTGATAGGGTTGCCTTCAGATAACAATCATGAAATGATGGAAAGAAGGGAAGCACGCAGGGACTTACGGGACTTGGTCTATGTTATTATTCAACTGTATACCTTTTATGCTTTGAACACCCTGTAAATATTATTGATTCAGAGCAAAGTAAAGTTGGTTACACATTACTATATACGCCTCCTTTACCTCGGTGTTATTGATCTGTAGGCCCCTAGTCCTGGCATAATCTTAAATTTTATGGACCCTATTAACTTGACATGTTATTGTTTTTCACTCAACCTCGAGCCTCTTTACACCCTCAAATAGTTAATGAAATCGTTTACTAACTGGGTGTTTGATTAAGGGCCCTTAACTGTGTTTAGTGTTCACAGTTGGCGGGCTAATGATTCCATAATTAAAGTACCCGTCCTTTGAAAGCAAAAGATGATCAACATAATTCTTTAACGCGGTGGTCTGACTATTAAACAGGAATCTTGAATACAATAATATTACAAGAAAAATCAGTCTTGATAATCGGGCACCTTTGCAATTGGAATTGCTGACCACCATATAGTCCATGAGCCAAGGCCACCAAAAGTGATTTTCGTAGCACCCCCTTTGGGAACAAGCTATTTTGGTACCAAATTAAAGCTTATTGACTATATTTTATGAATTCACTTATTGCCCGGCTGGTAACTTGCACGTTCAGGAGATAAGAGAGCGTTTTTATCGGGAGGAGGGTGGGGAGCATTTTTTGTCTTATAAACTTCTGTGTTATTAAAAAACAAATAACTTTGTAAGTGCCAATCAAATATGGCTTAAAACTTGTATTTCTTCTAAACAAGTTCATATTTATTACATTTCATGTTTGCATTTACACTTCAGATTGCCATGGTAACGGTTATTATGGAAATTCTTAGGTGATTTGTGAAACACCACTTTCTCATTGTTTTCGTTGGTATTTTTAATCAAACTGTGAAAAAACAATATATAGTGGACAAAAAAACTACGTGACTATAGCGTGGTTTTCATTTTAACCAAATTGGTAGCTGTTTACCTTAGCTTGCTGAATCACTGAAATCACTGAATTGCTCTTTGTTCTTTGAGGCGTATTACTTGTCCTCTCGTTCTTCGTCATCATCCTCGTCCCCCGGGCCTGTTACACTGTTGGCGCGTTGGTCAGAACAGAAACACGTTGCAGTGCAAGGCAACCCATTGCTGACACAAGAACAACGTCTTGTTAGGCAAGTGCCGTGGCAACCACAGCAACCTAACTCCCGCCGTGGGCACCACTGTTGTGTGCTAGTGATGTTGACAGCTAGTTAGCCACTACTACCTTTTCTCTCTCCCTCTCTATGTTTTTTAACTGAGATTTCAGGATACTAATCACCTACGAAGTCGCGATCGACCCTTGTTGCCTCTCCAGCTTGCAACAAGATTCTGTTGAAAACCATCTCTGTCAAGTCAGAAAATTTGTCTGGAATCTTGCTGAGCATCTGTAGTATTGCCATTGCATCAATGATGACTGCTGACGTTTGAACTGGTAGATGTTGGAGGCTGTCAACACCGTTCTCAAGAAGTTTGGGAAGAGCAGCTCATTAAATGAAGCCAGTGACCAGGGAAGAGGGCCAAGCTCGTGCACTAACAACTCTCACAAATCCACTTTCTGACTTTGGCCAATAACTAGCAATCATGCAAAGAGATTACTGTCTGCTCTCAAAATGACAGTCTTTCCTTCCTTAGACAACGACGGCGACTTCTTAACATTACTAAAATTGCCCAACTTCAACTTAGAAAGTGTGTCACAGAAACACTTGGAGGTTGACGACAATCTGTCTTCAACAAAAGAGCTTCTCTTCCCTTCTTTTTTGCAGTGAGCAAATCCGGCCTGCTGCTTTCGCGTGCAACACATGTACATCCAGAGCTAAGGCTGGCAAGTTCTTCGGATTCTTCAAATGGGTCCCACTATTTTAAACGCGGATGTGTAGAAAAAAACTGGTTTGTTACTTGAGCCTATTTTACCAGTAACCATTGCCATGGCAACACAAAGGCAAGGTAGTTAATCTCTTATAGTAGATCTAAAACATTTACAATTACGTCTACAGCAAATGACGTTAAAGTGAGGCGTAAAATTGGTCAATTTTTAAGCAAGTAATCATTTTAGGGCATTTTTGGCGCTCTGTAGGGCATTGTCCTGCCCACAACCATCAAAAAAGAGCATGGATGCTTGTAAAGGTAAACAGCTATCAATTTGGTTAAAATTTTTTTGATAATTTGATTTAAAATAGGAACAACAACAATGAGAAAATGGTGTTTCACAAATGACCAAAAGATTTCCATAGTAACCGTTGCCATGGCAATCTGCAGTGTAAATACAAACATGAAATGTACTAAATATGAACTTGTCTTGAAGCAATACAAGTTTTTACCCATATTTGATTGGCACTTACAAAGTTATTATTTGGGCGTGGCCCAAATAGAGTAATGGAAACGGCTTGTTTTGACGCAAATGTGCAATAGGCACGCAATACGTGCTAACGTAAACAAGGCAAGTAAACAAGCGAAGCGAGGCGAATGTCTGTCATGCGAACGTCTTGTACAAGGTACGAGGCATGTCGGAAAGAAAGCTCTTCAGTATTTTTTCCTCATCGAAATTTGGAAGTCTGAAGTCCAGGGATGAAATCTATCAAAAATATTTGGAATATTAACGTCGGGTCTTGGTCACAATGACATCGCAAGCAACGAACTTTGAAACACAGAAACACAAAAAACGGATCGAAATCCACCAATCACAAATCATAAACAATGACCTTTTGAACCCGCTGAAGAAAACTTTCGTTTCCTAAGAGGTCCGCTAAGATGATTGACGTCTGACATCTTTTTGACGAGAGGATCGAAATGCACCAATCATGGAAAGACAGTTTTAATTGCATGTTTCCTAAGAGGTCATCTGAATTTGCTGTTTTCTTTATTTTATGTCCATTTTTTGTGATTGGTCGATTTTGTTAGGTCGAGTGGATGATCCAATGAGGGACGATTTGGATATCGTTTGATCCGAAATTTTTCGAAGCAGCAGTGAGAAGCAGTTTGGGTAAGATTTGGCCGCGGCGTTTCGGGGAACGTGTTAATATATTGTTCAATTATGTTATCCCGGGTTAAATGCACACACTGTTCGCGGTAGGCCCACACTAAAAAAATAACACTGAGTGTTTTCGGAATGGGCTGGTCCGCGAACTCAAAAAAAAAACAAAGGAAATTATCAAGACATTCAATGACATGAAAGACTCATGGACCCCACAGACGTAATAACAAATCGGAATGTCGGGAGTGTACGTGTAAAATGGA